TCATTTTTTGCAAGTCCAAGTCAATTCAAAAGCCAAATTTTTGCACGTCCAAGTCAAGTCACAAGTCAAAGCTGGTATTTACAAGTCAAGTCACGAAAATAGCGATTCGAGTCCGACTCGAGTCCAAGTCACATGATTCGAGCCACCAACTCTGCTCAGACAATGAGATTTGTACGAGAGATTCCCAGAATGTCCGACTGATGAGCTTTAAATGTACTGTCCACATTTTGCCGTCATGTGCAAACAGTAACTGACGAAGATAGTTTCAGCCTAAACTCCCTGCTAAATTATTCTCTCTGGCAAGCTGTCACTTTTATGTAAACATCAGAAGAAATTGAAATTTAAAGACGATTTATTCTAGAAAATAAAAGCGCGTTGTGTTGACACGACACGTTCGCGCGCGGTTACTGATACCGTAATTCGTTATTTCGTCGTTCCAGCATGTGACATCGCGTAGCTGCATTCAACTGAACGTGGAACCTTTGCCGGCGACGGCAAATCATCGTCCATATATTTTGAATTGGCAAGCTCGGTGGTTAAGACGTCTGCACTAGTAAGCAGGAGGTCGTGGGTTCGAGTCCCACCCGAGTAAGCTTGTGAATTTTTTCGCAAGCTCTCGGAAAAGCACTGAGCATACAGTGTTTACTGATATATATGTTGGGTAAGGGCAAAACCCGTTATATTAATTAACATTTCCCCAACGCAAAAATACATTTTGTAAATACATGGATTCTGAACTCACCGCATTTGCGGAGATAGTATTTCCGGCCAATTTCAGAAAAAATTGCGCTATTTAATTTGGCGTAGATTTTTAAAACGACTTAAAACCTGGTTTCATTTTCACAGTAACAAGTATTCAACTTCGTTTTTCATCCTTCAAATAGATTAATGTGCGTTGTGTCTCATTCAAGCGGTTACAAATAAGTGATTAGGATTTCGGTTTGAAGTATACGTTGCCAGTTATAACAAAAATGTGAATTCTTATTCGCCAAAAATAATTATGTCTTTTACTGTGACTCTTAAGAACTGAGTATTCATGTTCATTTGCTGTCATTCAAATTTGCAAAAAATTGCGTTCAATTCGATTAGAAGATACAAGGTTGCACAAGTCATGACACACTTTGAATGGTAACAAATTTAATGTTACTCATGAAGGATTATGAATTGTACACTCATTATAATCCTTCAAATTTTCAAGAATTTTCTAAGCTTTCTCCTCATTGTAACAAGACGTATGACGTGATTGTGGCAAAACCCTAGTACAAGAAGGAAGGTTCCCTTAGCCTTGGTGTTTGAATAGGATTCGTACAATAGTTGGTATGTTTCCAAAGACAACATGAGTGGTTTATTTTATTATTGAGTATTCAAACATGTAGCCAATCAACTAAACATTTTTAAGAATATTACTTCTGTCAGCACACAAAAGAATTCCAATTCTTGACCAGGCATACCATAAATAACACTTCGTGCGAAATTGCCCGCACATTTTGCAAAATAGACTGAGTTAGAAAAAAATCAAATATAATGTTCATTCTATTTCGTTCGAAAACAAATGCTGCTATTACTAATTTATTTACACATTTCCACAAAAAAGACCAGGAATACCTGTAGTTGCAAAACTTGTGGCTCTTGTAAACCCTTAACCGTTTCTGCTTTTGCTTGCCCTTGTAGATACCGAGANGACTGATGAGCTTTAAATGTACTGTCCACATTTTGCCGTCATGTGCAAACAGTAACTGGCGAAGATTGTTTCGTCCTAAACTCCCTGCTAAATTATTCTCTCTGGCAAGTTGTCACTTTTATGTAAACATCAGAGAAATTGAAATTTAAAGACGATTTATTCTAGAAAATAAAAGCGCGTTGTGTTGACACGACACGTTCGCGCGCGGCTACTGATACCGTAATTCGTTGTTTCGTCGTTCCAGCATGTGACATCGCGTAGCTGCATTCAACTGAATGTGGAAACTTTGCCGGCGATGGCAAATCATCGTCCATATATTTTGAATTGGCAAGCTCGGTGGTTAAGACGTCTGCACTAGTAAGCAGGAGGTCGTGGGTTCGAGTCCCACCCGAGTAAGCTTGTGAATTTTTTCGCAAGCTGTCGGACAAGCACTGAGCATACAGTGTTTACTGATATATACGTTGGGTAAGGGCAAAACCCGTTATATTAATTAACATCTCCCCAACGCAAAAATACATTTTGTAAATACATGGATTCTGAACTCACCGCATTTGCGGAGATAGTATTTCCGGCCAATTTCGGAAAAATTGCGATATTTAATTTGGCGTAGATTTTGAAAACCACTTAATGTGATTAATGTGCGTTATGTCTCATTCAAGCGGTTACAAATAAGTGATTGGGATTTTGGTTTGACGTATACTTTGCCAGTTATAACAAAAATTTGAATTCGTATTCGCCAAAAATAATTGTCTTTTACTGTGACTCTTCAGAATTGAGTATTCATGTTCATTTGCTGTCATTCAAATTTGCAAAAGATTTCGTTCAATTCGATTAGAAGATATAAGGTTGCACAAATCATGACACACTTTGAATGGTAACAAATTTAATGTTACTCATGAGGAATTGCGAATTGTACACTCATTCTAATCCTTCAAATTTTCAAGAATTTTGTAAGTTTTCTCCTCATTGTAACAAGACGTGTGTGTACTTTAATTAACTTTGCTGTATGACGTGATTGTGGCAAAACCCTAGTACAAGAAGGAAGGTTCCCTTAGCCTTAGTGTTTGAATAGGATTCGTACAATAGTCGGTATGTTTCCAAAGACAACATGAGTGGTTTATTTTATTATTGAGTATTCAAACATGTAGCCAATCAATTAAACATTTTTAAGAATATTACTTCTGTTAGCACACAAAAGAATTCCAATTCTTGACCAGGCATACCATAAATAACACTTTGCACGAAATCGCCCGCATATTTTGCAAAATAGATTGAGTTTAAAAAAAATCAAATATAAACGGAGATATGAATGTTCACTCTATTTTGTTCGAAAATAAATGCTGCTATTATTATTTTATTTGCACATTTCAAAAAAAATGACCAGGAAAACCTGTAGTTGCAAAACTTGTGGCTCTTGTAAACCCTTAACCGTTTCTGCTTTTGCTTGCCCTTGTAGATACTGAGAATTCGATGTCGCCTATTGCCAACAAAGTTGGTAAGAGTCAAAGATGCTACTGAGGACATTGAAATGTCTGTTGCTCCTACCAACGGGGAGACTGACAGTGATGAAAGCTCACCACTTCTTGCCCAAAACAAGAGTACAGCTGTTAAATATCATTTACTCTAATTATGGTAGCAAAAGCATAATATAATATAAGTAGATAAGCCATATTCGTTGAAAATAAGGCCCCGTATGAGAGATAGGGCTTGTATGGAGCTCTGGAAGTGCCATCCTACTTGTCCAGATCCTGACATAATTTATCTCAGGATGATGACATATTACGGGCAATATGGCGAAACCATGAGATGTTTTATCGCAGGACGAAGACATCCTGTAATGGAAATGACAACATATTTATCATGGAAAGACGACATTGTAAAGTGATATGATGACATTATTTGTCAATGGGTGCCTTGACAAACCACCTCGAAAACAGGCGGCCTGAGATGGTAGAGTTTTCAAACCATTGTCCTGTTGCCATAAATGATATTATTTAGATGACGTCTCACTGCCTGTTACAAGTTGTTAAGTATACATCACACTTGGTGATGCAGAGGCTGACATCCTAAGCTAATGATTATCGTCATTATCTGAGGATGTCACCATCCAACTTTTACGGTGTCGTCATTCTATGATAAATTATCTCAGGATGTCGTTATCCAACTTTTCGATGTCGTCATCCCATGATAAATTATCTGAGATTGTCATTGTCCAACTTTTATGATATTGTCATCCTGTGATAAATTATCTCAGGATGTCGACATGTTGCGTTTAATATATCATCGCGAGAAAAACATGTCAGGATCTAAACATGTTGGATGGCACTTCCAGAGCTCCGTAGGCTTGAGATGGACTGAGGGAAGAGGAAGTTGTCAAACTAGATAAGGTAAAACTAGTCGTGTCATGATCCACAATGACCGTATAGAAAAACACCTATTTTTCGTTTCAAACATAGTGTGATATACGCTCTATCGGTGGTCTTTGTTATGACTACGTGAGGCGGCATCAGCAGTAATTGCTGCCACACTAAGCAAGACAGGATCAACAACCGAAATCAAGACAATTGAGGCAGAATCCCGAAATTCACCATAAATTTGACAAACACTGTCTATAAACTTCTACAGAAATTGGGCCCGAGTGACCCTGTGTCACGTTGAGGGATAGACACATGAGGGCCTGAAGTCCAGTCCATAACTATGTACATGAAAGTATTATATGACAAAATACTGAAAAGATTTTACTAACAAAAAGTTTTATGGGACGGCCACGTGTGCCAAGGAATCAACGATGTTCACTGGGCCATAGAATATTTGTTGGAATGGTAATATGCATGCATCGTGCTTGACGTACGACATTACAGAAAAAGTAAAGATGCCACTTCAAGACCGAAGATCCTGTTATTTGTAAGTCAAGGATACGGAACCTAAATGGAACAAAGGGAATCATAGGGGACGCGACACACTGAAACCAGCTGGGCCTGTAGTGCAGTGAGGTGGCGCTGGCATGGACGGGAGGGGTCAATTAGGTTGACATGACTTCGGGTCTCTTCGGGCTGACACCTCTAAAATACCAAACTAATCCAGTTTGTTATTGAAACAGGAAAACTTTGCCCACCTTTCAAAAGGCTTTAACTTGTTGAACCATCAAAAAGAGTATTTTTTTAATTATTATGTATTATGTCTTGATGGACAAAAATACATGTACAATAAATGTCTCTGTTAGAACAGTGACTTTAAGGAATATGTAAAGAACAGGTACGTTCTTGTTGGTCTTTTTCCAACAAATTGCATTTGCGCAAGTATTATTCTTTATGCATGTACACAGTGTGTGTACCCATCGTTTGGAATGCAGCGTCACCGAAGAATGTCGTAAGATGGCAAGGATATATATTTTGATTTCATATTTGGGTCATCCATTCTAGTCTGTCTTTGGTTACAGGTACACAACAGAGATTACACCCTACAATGTAGAAAAGGCGTTAAGCTTTTAAAAATTTCTTAACACTTTTTGAACTTCCTGCATATATGTATTTAAATGCTAAGCGAATGCAAAGCTAAACGTATACCACAGAAAAGCATTTAGCCTTTAAATACATTTCTAATCGCACTTTAATAAACATATCGTGGGTTAAACGTGTTAAAAAGTGTTTAAACTTTAATGCCGTCTTTTCAGTGTAGCGCTGACCTTCTATCCCTAAAGCTCGTTTGTCATTTTGTTCATAATAAAGAAAAATTGTATCCCTTTGGTTTGAATTTAGGTGAACTGTCCGCTCCTGATCAACCGCAGTGGAAGAGGCTGGCGGTTGAACTTGGTTTTACCTCAGACCGCATTGCGTATTTTAAGAGTTTTCGTCCTGGTGAACCTGAGGAAAAAATCTTGCTGATGCTGTCTGAGTGGAGAGGACTGGGATCATCCCTGAGGGACCAGACTACAAAACTGTGTGATGCATTAGCAGCCATTGGCAGAAAGGATCTCGTTTATGAATTACAAGGTACATGTAGTGTTGTCATAATCAGAATTGTAGCTTCGGAAATACTTATAGATCACTTCACACTATTTACCTTTTACATCATAACTATGCACTATGGAAAAAGAAATACCCAGACACCTCTAGGCTGAGATTCAGTTTTTTTTGTTCGAACTGTTGAGTTAGCAGACAATATCGATTCGATCGTCGGCTTGACAGATTTTGGTTTCTGGACAAATGAAGGAATAAGTTTGCAGAAACGAGTGCTTTTGTATAAAATGTCCAAAGGTCTTTCGAAATGGAACTGAAACGTTCCCTGGACATACTCTTTCTTGAACAGTGTATAATAAGGATTCTCTTTTGATAAATGCAGGCAGAGTAATGGTTCACGAGACCAATCCTAAAATACACCGTCAGCACACAGTGTCATTCATTAAATCGGCAACAAATCGCTTCAGTCCGAGAATGTTATTGGAAAGTCCATTCAAAGGGAACTTGGGGATAATGTATTTCTAAAACAAAATAGATTTACTGAAAATTAAATAATATATCTTATGCAAAAAGCGATATACATTTCATGATGTAGAAAAATATTTCTTAATGTATATGAAAATCTTGTAAAACAAAACTTGGAAAAATACATCGAATTAAAAAGAACATGGCAAAATAAATCTCAAAAATTAATTTTTTCCGCATAAAAATGTGCTTCATTTTTTGAAAAAGGCACTAGTTGACTTGAATTGTCAGAGGTGATGTCTTTAGCATACATATGAAACTTTCTTATGCCTGGTTACTAAAACGGCTCGGGAATGCAAATATTTTGCTCACACTGTTATAATTATTCCAGAATGAGGATTTTTGTGTCTCTCATAGTCATAATATTGCATGCAAAGCTGTCTTCCGGGCAGTATGTCCCTTTTCCCAAACAACCATCTTTTCCGGTAAATTGTAATGACATGGTTTAAAACAGTTTCCACGCCATAGCAACAATGTTAGGGAGAAGAATTTATTATATTATTGCTTATTGCACTTTTATTGTTATACATGTATCCCCGTGACTCTCGGGAACGCTCTATCGTGGTTCGTTTAAATTTACACATATACATAATGTAAACAAATTCTCGGATGCCGATATTTTTTTAGCCCAAGTAACAATTTTACACGAATGTCTGTTAAATTAAGAAAAATCACATAAACTCAGTTTTATAATCATGTCTCAATTTCGAAAGTTTGCTTTGTTCAGTGTTACTACATGCATTAGGCATTAGTGCGTCGTATTGAAGAGCTATATCCTTACAATTTTGTTGCTAGGGTTGACTGATAAAAAATTCCACAAGATTTCCAAGGACCTTTGTGAAGCATGGGAGGACCTGGCGTACGAATTCGGGCTCGTCGAAGAAGAACTCGACGAAATAAAAAACAAAAAATCAGATTCGCAAGATCGCGCTTTTAAAATGCTGACAACATGGAGAGCACTGCNAGTCGACTAAGGAAGACTGTCACGAAGTGCTGTGTAGAGCGCTTGACAAGATCGACAAAAAGGATTTGGCTAACAGACTGAGGAAAGGTAACTCGTTCATTGATGGCAGAAAGAGGCTACTGAGAGTGGGACACATGCTAACGCTGGAGTCGGATTCAAAGAAGTTGTTCAGTGAAGAATTCGAACCGCCATCCGATATGACCATCTACAATCAAGAAGAATTACGGTCACTGAGGGACGATGTAAGAGAAACCGGTGAGTCACGAGATGAACAATTACATGTAAAGACGTTACGCGTGATGTGCAGATCACGGGAAGATGTTGATTTGCTTCGAGAAATTATTCAAAGTACTAACATCGATATCTCGAATATGCTACACCTTCATTATCTGTTATCTAAAAACTGGAAAGAGGAACTGGAAAGCCTCGTGGCAACATTCCAACCCGAGAGAAAATTTCAAACGTTGATTCTAGAATTATACCAGCCCAGCAAAGATGATGCCGAATTTGATATGGGGTTTGTGGGTAAATGCGTATATGAAATAACGCGTTACTTTCCTGGACAAATGGGACTATCACTTCAGAACATGATTCGTTCAT